ATATGGTTCAAGTAATGTTTTAAAAATGAAATTTTTGGTCATGATTTTTGGGTTGTTACAGTATCTCGTAAACAAATACAATGATGTAAACCATGTATATTGATATCGTAATCTATGATGATGATGGTTGCTTTGTTTCATTAATATACAACTGTTATGATATTACAAGATGAAGTCACCCGCCCCGGACGTTTCCACCGTCCCGGTTCGGGGGTGTGACATCTCCATCTCTAAATCAATCTCTCTCTCACGAGCCCTCGCTATCATATCCTCCAGCGTCTTGCAGCTGGATCAGCTCACAAACTGTTTGATGTCGCTCCTCAACATCTCATGATACTGGGCCTTCTTCATCTCCTCATTCTCCACGTATTGCGGAACGAGAAGGGCCCTCTCCCTAAACATGGCAGTGATCTCCATCACCATCTCAATCGTTTGCGGGAGATCCTATAACTCCCTAGCAAGCTGTTGCACCTCGATCACAGGTGCAAAATCGGTCCTTACCCTCGCCGAAAAGTCACTCCAAGTCATAGCATCAAGAACCGCATCATCATCAATGACATGTACGACCTCCTCCCACCAGTCACGTGCTCTGTCCTTCAGAAGACATGAAGCTAGTCGGACCTTGTCCCCCTCGAGACATCTGCTGGTACGGAAGGCGTTGGCGACATTAGCCAACCACCTGCTGCTAGCAATGGGGTCTCGAGCCCCATGGTAGTCTGGAGCTCCGCATGCTCGGAACTCCCTGAAAGTCATCATACGCACCCCTAGAATGGTTGTCATCTCGGTGCGGAATGCACCCAACCTCTCATCAAGTATCTCCAAGATGCCCTCCTTGACCGTACCGAAGATCATAGGAGTCTGGTCTAAAATACTGCGTGTGACCTCAGATGAGATGAACTCTCTCGTTTTCTCATTAAGCTGCCCGACTCCAGATCCCGAGCCTGATCCCTCACCGGCTCCCGAAGTGCCGACTGGTCTAGTGCGTAGCATCACCATTCTGAAAATACACCATAAAAAACATCAGAATACTCATCATAACTCGAGGCATCACATACACTAAAAGTTCCCTGGATTCATCTCAGGCTTCCCTGATTCGAGTACGGATCCTGTGCTTTCAGTAGTACGGGCCCATACTACCTTCCATATCTATCCGTACTTTCCTCAAGAACTGCCTTGACTCCACCAAGTCCCTTCTACTACTACTACTGCTACTGATCTCATGCTAATCTCATCCTAGGCTTTCCCTAGGGTAATCACCAACCCACTCTACGCCATCAGTTGCATAAGAAGTCCCTGCTATCTCCCCCTAACTAGCTCATGAATACCATTACATGTCACTAAGACTAGATAAATCTTCGAATGAGAGGTCCTACCCTACAACGGTTGGACTCAGACAAGAGCTGCGAAAGAGAGCTAAACCTAACCTTCTGAAATTATTTAGTCCTCATAATATATAACTTAACATATTCATTTACTAGTTAGTTAAAGATAACTAGAACTCCTAAAAGCACAAAGCAAGCAGCATTCGAGCATTGAGTAAACATAATCAAGCATATCCCTATTAGTCCATCATATCACTGACTAATTAATACTAGCATGCAGTTCATAAAGCTCATATACATATAATAGGCACATAAGACATCCTTCCTAGATCCTTAGCCCTAATCTAGCATGCAATTCTCATAATCATATCATAACATAAACTTGTATGGTTAATTTTGGGAGTACTTACTTGAGCTCGGGCTGATTTCTTGCACCACACCCTTTTTTCTCTTTTCAAAATCCCGTTTGTAAAAAAATGGTTTTCTTTTAAAAATTTTATACCAAGTCCTCAGTTTGAGTTCAGACACACCCGAGAGTGTGCCCGAATCCCTCAAACCAAGGCTCTGATACCAACTTGTAACATCCCAAAAACATGGTCCGAAAATTTCATTTTAAATCATTAATAAAAACCATAGATATCCAAACGTCATATAAAAACCATAAGTCGTGTATCTCAAAATATCATAACATCTGTCAAAATATATCAGAGTAAAAACATCCCAAGCTAAACAAATGGTGTGTGCACTGCAATCATCCCGAGCTCTTCCCCTTGCTACTGGAAGTACCTGAAACCAAAACCGAAAACTGTAAGCACGAAGCTTGGTGAGTCTCCCCAAACTACCACATACCATACACATAACATGCAACTAGGAGATACGGGCCCCGCCCACACTCAGTTAGTCATGAAAATACATACATGTATCACACAGACAATAAGTATAACTAAACATATAAATCTATACCATATCAGCTACTATGAGATACGGGCCCCGCCCACACTCAGATACTAATCATATCACATATACGAGCCGACCTTGGTGCTGTAGACCCGTTCCTATTGAAGGAAACTCACCTCAATGTCGTGAATAGCTGAAAGTCCGTGCTCCGCAACCGGCTCTACTCACACCCTATACATAACAACCTCTTAGATAACATTCCATACTCCAAACCCCTTCACGGGTCAACCTTGGTCAAAGTCAAATTCAAAGTCAAAGTTAACATCCTGAGTTGACTCAACTCGCCGAGTTGGTCCATCAACTCGTCGAGTTCCATGAATCATGAACCGTGAAATCGCGATCACACTCGACGAGTTCTTTCATAACTCGTCGAGTTCCTCCCATCTATAGAATCGGTACTTCTCCAATCAACTCGTCGAGTCATCCTTGAGCTCGTCGAGTTTTTCCTTTAACAGAATCAGGACACTTCGTCCCAAATCGTCGATTTCCTCTATGGACTCGGCGAGTTCTTCAGTATGTTAAGCCATCTTAATATATTAAGCCCCTAATCTTCATATCCAAGCCCTATACTCCACCTATACACTAAAAATGTCCTTTTAAGGGTCAAGTTTCCAACTTTACCCGTTAATACCCTTACTTGAAGAATCTAGCTAAAACCCTAACTCTTTAGGACCTAGATCTTGGTCCACAAGTCATCCATACTCCAAACTAAAGTATACAAACAGAGATCTAGACCCTAAACACTACATGAACACGTAAAGCTTCCTCCTTTTACTATATGCATTGCATTTTGGAGCTTAAAATGCCAGAATGACATCCTATAGCTTGCATGGGCTTCAATGGCCATAAAGTTTGCACCTTTATGCCATGAAAGCCCTCCATGATTCCAGATCTGATGGTTCACCCACTTGGGACGTCCATAACCTAAAGATCAAGCTTCTTGGACCAAAAACCCCACAAAATGATAATAAAGAGATCTAAGAAGTTACTAAGCAAGTTTGAGACTTGCTTACCAGAAAATGATGAGAATGAAATGGAGTCTCTAGATCTACTAGCTTCCTCTTGAATCTTCAAGCTTCTTCTTCTTCTTCTACAAGCTTCAAACACACAAAAACTCTCTCAAGAATGGCTCAAAAGCTCACACAAAGTTTTAGGGTTTCTGAATCTAGGGTTTGGGACTTGGAGGTTGTAAATGAGGCTGGCATAAGGGGATTAAGATGCTTAAATAGAGTGCAAAACCCCAAAATTAGGGTTTCACTCTGGCAGTCCTACTCGTCGAGTCGAGGCTTCCAACTCATCGAGTAGACTTCAAAACCCGCATCCAAAACCATTCCCTAGTCAACGAGTTTGGGGCCTCCAACTCGTCGAGTTCCTACATAAAAATGAATAAATTTATAATTTAAATACATACCATGAACTCGGTGTTACGTAGGACCTTCCCAAGAGTTAGATCTGTGAATTGGATGTTTGGACTTTAAGCGTTAAGAGCTTAATGATAAGTTTTGGTCATCAGTGGAGTACGTTGGGCGTACCCTCTAAGTACACACGACGTAACGGGTTAAGCCCGATTTCTTTTTTCTGTTGAAGCCCAATACACAATGTGTAATGGGGTGGTACACATGGCATACTCACCATAATGCTATTTGGGTCATTATGGGTTTGGGTCATGGTTATATGGGTCAAGTAAGGGAAGGGTAAAATGGTCTTTTTACCCTTAGCATGATAGAATATGATCTGGACCATTTATTATGGGTTATTACCCTGATTATTAATTAGGACTGATTTTGGATATGTTCAGTGTGAGGAGTCGTGGTTGCAGCAGATTGAGTGTGTGGTTTGTTTATCATCCGATTGAGGTGAGTCTCCTCACTGTACTCGTGGTTCGAATGCACCAATGTTGGCCCACTAAAATGTGTTATGTAGGATGCTAGTTATTTTTGTGACTCTCGCATTGTATGTTGGTATGGGCATATTGACATGCATGTAGGGTTGGGCTGACTTGTACCACGTCATATTTTTTTCTTTGGGAAAATGTCATTGTAACACAATCAACTATTTCATTTACCCGATTTAGTCATTAACTATTTTTTTGTGCAATAGGTCATCAAACTTACAAATTACTTGTCAATTAAGTCACTTTCGTTAATTTATAACGGATCCCCGGTTACCAAGCCTATACGAAAAGTGTGACACACAGAGCAAGCTTATATGGAAGTGGGCCACGCCATTAGTCATTCACCATTTTTTATACTCTTTTCTATTTAATTTATATTATTAAAAAAAATATAGGTCACACATTCAATCTATCTTTCTATCCCTCTCACATACATGACCATATTTTGGAAGTGTTCAAAATCAATTTTTGGAAAATGAGTTCTGCAAATCGGAACCTAGGTCCGATAATCGGATTAGGGAGTCAACACTGACATTGAGCGAAATCAGATTCTGGCTTACACATTTGATGTAGACGACGTCGAAGTTAAATCGTCCCTATGACGGTGTGCTGCTAGAGAAGGGGGAGGGAAGAAAGACATCTTCGCTCATTTCGGTAACGACGACAACATACTTTTCTCCTGCTAGTGATGCGAAAGATGTCTTCGTTTGTGTACCACCGGTTAGAAGGGAATGATGGACGAAAGGAAATAAGAAAGTGGCGTTGGTCTGAATCCCGTTGAAGGTCTCGTTCATAAGAAGTAGAAGAAGGTTAGGATGTCTTCGCTCATGCAGGTAATGACGTTGACGTAGTTCGCTCGTGCCGATAATGGCAAATATGTCTCCGTTCGTGTACCATCGGTTAGAAGGGAAGAATCGACGAAAGGAAATAGGAAGGTGGTGTTGATCCAACTCTTTTTGAAGGTCTCGTTCATGAGAAAGAGAATAAGGTTATGATTATGTGTGTGAAGCCTACTCTAATTAATGTTATTAAAAAGATAAAACATAAAATTAATGTTTTTATCTGGAGAATGATGTTTAACAAGTTACCGACTAGACGCAATTTGGTTAAGAGAGGAATTGATGTGGAGTCGGTGATGTGCCCGTGTTGTAATGACGAGCAGGAGGATGACGTTCATTTGTTTCTCAAATGCTCTTTGGCGGTTCAACTTTGGCATAAGTTTGCGTGTTGGTTGGATGAAACTTTGTCTCACTTTGTTGATATGGATGATATTTTCAAATGGATAAATGCACAAGGCGTTGACAGTTACTGTAGAGTGATCATGGATACAATTTGCTTAACTTTAATTTGGGTGCTTTGGACGTATAGAAATGATTTTGTGTTCGAGAACGAGAAGTATAGAAAAGATATGTTGTTTGATCTAATTGTATTTTTTTTTCTTTTATTTGGTTTTGCAATAGGAATCACAAAGCCAAAAAGAATTGGAATGGATGGATGCAAAATCAATTCATGAACTGATTGTTATTTTCTTGTTTCTTTCCTAGCTTCTAGTTAGTTGTTAATACTTTGCGGTTAAAAAAAAAGATAAAACATAAAAAAGAAAAGAAAAAAAAATGTCATTGTAATACAATCAATTAAGTTTTTTCAAAAAATCATACTTTTACATAGGCTCACTTTTACATAGGCTCGGCGATTGGATATCCTGTTAAAAATTACAAAGTGATTTAATTGACATGTAATCTATAAGTTATCTATTGCCCAAAAAGATGTTTAATGACCGAATCACATAAATGATAAAATTTGATTGTGATAGGGTGATATATATTTTTTTAAAATGGAAAAAAATAATATGATAATAATATATGTTGCCACCATGGATCAACCCTAATTTTTTCAACTCCTCACTTTTGGTGGTCGGACTTTCTTCTGATCGGACTTTGAGGTTTTCGTAGGTTGATACTGAGCCTCAATAGAAAAAAATGTAAGTTTTTATCGTAGGTTTGATCATTAACGCAATGCAAATTTCGAGATGGATGTTACTTGGATCAATTCCATTTGACTTTACTTAATTTTCTGTGTATGAATTTAGGAGGTCTTCGATCAAACGCCCGCCCACTCCAGACGCAGAGGAGGAAGAACATGATCGAGAACCTACTCTTCAAGAAATCATCAACATCAAAGTACGATATAATAGTTTCATGAAATTTTGTTTAAATCAAGTTGCCGAATTTGAAAAATGGAACAAATTAAGTCGCTGAATCGGGACTTGGAGAGAACAATTCATTAATTTGGCTACTTTTTTTTCTTATTTGTACTTGTGATTTCATTGGATTTTTATAGTTGATTGAGAGTGGCGAGAAAGAACGATTGAAGGAGCTTCTGAGGGAAAGGCTTATCGAGTGTGGTTGGAAAGATGAAATGAAATCCCTTTGCAGGTTCCCTCTCTCTCTCTCTCTCTCTCTCTCTCTCTCTCTCTCTCCCTCTCTCTGTATCGACCTCTCTGTTCTTCTTCTGCACATACAGTGGTGACTGGTGAAAGCAAACTAAGATTAAAGAATGGAATAAGTAACCTTGTAGGTCGTATAAGTATGGTATTTGGGAGCTCTCCCAAAAGATTGCTTATAATGTCATTAAGAATGGTTACTTGTTATCATAGAGCTGAATTCCTAAAATCAAAGAAATGGTGTAGGTAATAACTTGTACATCATGCAACAAGACATGTTGCTGTGAATTTGGGAATTTCAGTTCCTTAATACAACCATGTGCCTAAAGCTCTTTCTTTTGGGCCAATAAACAAGAACTGCACATTTCATTGAAGTACTAGTAGATATGCATTTCAATTTCAAACCATTGTGCTTCATAATTCCATCTGTAAACATTCAACACAGTTGCAGACACCGATTTGTTAGGAGATAGCAAATTATTTTCTTTGCTAGCTTCTTGATACTTTAGAATGAAATTTCAGGTACAATTGTCTAGGTTTATAGATTGTGGAGGAAAAGGGTAGGGATGTATCAGATTTCTTGAACTTCTATGCCAAGTATTGAGATTGATGCATTGACTTATAAGATTATGCTTCCCAAAATTGTATAAGTTTTTTATTTCCTTTTAATTATTTATGACAGATCATTTACAAGGAAGAAAGGAAGGAGTAATGTAACTATTGATGACCTTGTTCATCTCATTACACCAAAAGGCAGAGGTGAGTTATGCTTGTTCTCTTTGCTTCCACTATTCATATTTTATCTCATAAAAATTACATGAAAACAACAATATTTTCTTATTGGAAAACTTTCAAAGATTATATGTTTTCCTATCATTATCATTATAAATCAGTTGGTTATATCGATTTGATTCTGTAAAATATTTTTATATCTGTCTCCTTTTGAGGTATGAAATATCATCCAAGTTTTCGGAATACACTAGTTGAATTTTCATTGAAAATAAAAAAAGACACCTAATTGAGTATTTTTTTTTAATGCAGCTGCTGTTCCTGATTCTGTAAAAGCTGAGCTATTGCAAAGAATTCGATCATTTCTTCAATCAGCAGCTCTTTGATTACATTGCGATTGTGAAATGTTTTGAGAGTCGAAATCTCATGTAATATCACTTGCATTTGCAATTCTTATGTTTGTGTAGTTTACAAAAAAAACCATTTTATTTATCCCTTTGAAAATCATCTTGGAATATTATATATGTTTAGTTCGTTTATACCATATTTCTTAATTGTATATTCATTACCTTGTAAAATCTAAAATTCCAATGATGATGGTATTTGCGCCTTTTACATAGACGAGTGATTGAAATCAAACATTTTTCTTGATTGGATAAATAATTAGTTTTTGTCATATTGACATCAATCAGATTTAGTCATGTCCAATTCGTTTCAAATATAGGATAGGACACGACAGTTTGTCATTTCTTATATTAACGAACTATTAATAATTCTTTTTTATCTGATACTAATCTAATTTATTGCATTTCAATATCAGGTGTCATGACAAGACACTGACATCTGATTTTGAAATGCAATGAATACAATTTTTTTAGAATATGATTTTATGGTTTTGTGTAGGGTAACCGTAAGACACTGACATCTGATTTTGAAATGCAATGAATACAATTTTTTTAGAATATGATTTTATGGTTTTGTGTAGGGTAACTGTAGTTTTTAATGATACTCTGGGATTCTGTTTGGAATTATGTTAGGCAAGTTGTGGGATTTCGAGATATAATGGTTGGACTTGGATCTGCATATCTTGAAAATATAACCGAGATTTTGTCGTAAGATTCTATTTAATATAGCCCATGGATTCAAGTGTTATTATTATTTTTTATAATATTTTGTTTGAATTGTCAGGCAATATTTTGTCATAGATTCTATTTGTGTCATTTTATGTATTCTTCAAGGTGGTAATAATAGATTTGCAGTGCACAAAGTAATTTTTTTTCATTTGTAAAATGGGGTTTTGTAAAAAATAAAATTTTATAAGTTTGTACAGTTGTTGGGATATTTACCAATACAGTCCGCTAATTTTTTTTTCTACAATAATAGTCTCTGTAACTTACAAAATAGTCCCTGTTTAAATAAAAAATTACAAACATAATCCCGTTATAAAAAATAAGTTACAAAACCGTACTTGTAATTTATAGAATAAGTCCATGTACATAATTATTTTTACAGTAATGCTTCCTATATTTCAAAAACCTCATAAATGGTCCCTTTCGTTCCTAATAATAAATTTACATGGCTATGTTTTATAAAATAATAGATATGGACCTCTTTGTTAGCAGATTTACATAAATGATACTTGTGTTTCACAAAATTATAGAAATGATTCTCACTTTTCACAAAAATAACAAAATAATCTCTACCAAAAACAAAATCACAAAAATTATTCCTACCTTCATACAACTAAAGAAATAGTCACTGTCTAATAACAAATTTAAAAAAATGTTCCCTATGTAAGAGAACATTAGAAAAATTATATGAAAAAAATGTAGTTAACAAACCCAGCGCAATAAAGGAGCCACCCCACTAATTTATGTACATTTGTTTTGGTCGTAGATAAGTTTTTTTGATTTTTTTTATTAAGTTTTTAAGTTTATGAAGCATTTCAAAACTAGGATTTTCTTTTCTAATATCTGGTTGTTGAGAATTATTTTGCAAGGACTTTTTTGTAAAATATATAAATAAGTACAGAAATACATAGTGTTTTTGTACAAAATTTTAAAGAAAATACATATGTTTTAGGTTTAAGTGTACTAATTAAAAGCCCTACCATGATTTATTTGTGAGAAATGTGAATTACCTAGAGATTTCCTTAAAAAAAACTTCTAACGCAAAAAAGCCCAACCAATTATACATGTATATGCAGAAAAACCCTTATATTATTTTTATGTTCAGAAAAATCCTTATATTATTATTTACGTTTCAAATAAAACCAAATCGTAAATTTTTAAGAGAAATGACCAGCTAAAAATATGATATGATATACATATCGCGTATATTTCTTTGATTATATGCAAGAACATGTCAAACAGACATACATTTGGATTACTTTCACTCGATTGTGTTATTTATATGGTTGGTTTTTCTCTTCATAACCAATCGTTTTTATCCAAAATTAAAATCAATATCATATTAAAAAAAATGTAATAAATATTAGATTTTTAGTTGTCAATTTCTCTTAAAAATCTGTATTTGGTCTTGTATATACATATATAATTGATTGTGTTTTTCTATATATATCCCATAATTTATTTGCAAATAGAAATAACTAATATATTAGTTATGAAATCATTACAAAATTTGTGAGAAATAACTAATTTTCTGATAAAAACCTGTAAATAACTACAAACTTGTAAAATAATTACAAAATTTTAGTTGTTTAATAATTTATTATATTAGTTATTGTTTATTGTTTACTAATATAATACTTATAACCATATTTTTATATAATTTTGTTATGAAATCATAAGAATGTACAAAACAATATTTGCAAGTCAAACTAACACGACCCATTTTGATTGCACGTGAAAATTATTTGTTTCAAGTATCAACACAACTACACAGTTATGATCCTTATAAACTCTCTGTTCTGTATGTTTTTAGCAAAAAGAAAAGGTTAAGGGTAAATTCTGTTAAGTTTAGATAAGATTTGGGATTCAATTGTAAATTACATGGAAAACAAGACGACTTTCAAACCAGACCAAAATTCAGGGAAGAGGAAAAGAAATAGCAAAATTTGATGCCCCTGAAAACTCGCAAGTGTGTTTAATACCTATATCGCAGGCTGTGTAATCCACGCACTCGAAACTTGCATATTTATCACACCAAATCGCCCGTGAATTGCACGCGTCTCTTATGCGAATAAGGATTGAGCGTACTGGAGCTTCTTAATTTCGGACCATTTCGTTTGTGTTTTATAAATTAAAGGATAAATAAAATTTTCCCCTAAAATCTTTTTATCAGACCCAAATTTTCGTTCGTCTTTTTAGTTTCCCTCTCTTTCTTTGGAGGGAAAATTTCCAATTTTTGAAGCTTTTTAATCGTTACTTGGTAATAATATTCAAAAGTTTTCAGCTGGGTTGTATATATTTTGATTTATCGCATCGTTTTCTTTCTTTTGACGGTTGGTTCAATTCGCCTTGTTCGGACAGTTACCAGTTGCGAAGTGTTACTGAGCTGCGGGACTGATCGAACTGGAATCAGGTATGGTGATTTGAGAATGCAAATACTTCAAATTAGCTTTCTTTATGTGTTGTTTGTGTTACTGTAGCTGATTTTTTTGTTGAAAGTAGGGTTTTTAGGGTTTTTGAAATCGAGGTCTTATTGCTTGTTCCAATCAGTTGGTTTAATTATCTGCTTGCTCTGATTGTTTAAAATCTGGAGTTTAGTAGCCGCTTTATGTGTTTTGAGTTCTGATTTTTGTTGCATATGTTCTGGATTCAACGTTCTGCTCGTTTTCATTTTCGTTTGTACTGTAGACATTTACTGTGTAGTGTTAGTAGAGTGATTTACGAAGTTTTCATTTAACGTTCTTGCTTCTTAGAAATCGCTGTAGGAGTCTTGTATGGAATTAAGTTTTCTTTGCCCATGCAATTCTTTTCATTTTATTTCAATGGTCAAACAAACTTGTCTAAAGAGACTTTAACACATAAACTTGAGGGTTGCAGAGATCCACTGATGCTATTGAGCAAATGGCACTTGGCAGTAAAACTAAGATTATCAAATGAGAGAATTCGGTTTTCAGTTTTCAGGTATCTTAAAATGTAAAAGAGGCTTCTAAGTATCAAGTTCAAAGGGTTTATTTAGTTTTATATATTGAAGGTTCTAGTTATGAATCTTGTGATTGTTGTTTTGGTATACAGATTCCCTTGATTCAGATCATCAAGAGTCTCATTTGTGTTCCTACATTAAGTTTCAAAGTTTTAAATAATTAAAACTTCCATATTGATGACTAGATTGATTATTATCATTCACTTTCCTGTAGTTGTTGTTAGGCAACTTTATGCCAGTCAGACAATCCGTGGAAGATCACAACTTATAAACATATCTACCAAAAACTTGAAGTTGTTAAGCATCTGAATCTGGTTCTCACCCAAGTTTGAGATGCAAACCAAGAAAGTAGCAATGGGAAGAAATTCTTCTAAAGCTCTTGCTAGTCCAAAAGTTTCAAAAACTCAGAAGAAGGTGCCTGAAGATGTCAACAACCAAGAGAACAAAGCCTCTCAGATGATTACATCTTCTGCTAGAAAACAAAAACCTGGTTAGTTTGTTACCCTTTTTTATATTTTGACATTATTATTACTTTTTGTTCACTAAGGACTATAAATTTGGATGCTTTGTGTATCTATCTCTATCTATTGTAACTCGCAGCAGCCACCCATACAAGGGATAGCAAGGAAAATGTTGATGCAACTAATTTAAATGCTAGAGGCATATGTTTGGACAATGATTCTTATATTGCAATCAACAACATGTCTGTGGATTCTGAGGTAATCATATATCTGTCCATTTGTTGTTTGACTTTTGGATTTCATTTTCATCATCATAATATAAATGTTAGTATCTTGTAATTATGGATTCTCACAAAGTGAAAGTGTTTCTTTTTGATATGATGTAGGAATGTGAGACAACAGAATCTTTTTCAAATGGAACCATATTTTCTCCTGCATTCCATATTTCCAGAAATATTGAAGGAGAAATTGTAGATGGAGGTAAATAATTAAACTGCTATTTTGCTTACATGAAACAGATTTAAGTTAATATTAGCATAAAATATGTTTATTTGTGATACATAATTAGGATGTGGTCTATCAAGTGAAGTGTCAGCCATATACCAATGCATGAAAGACTCAAAGCTAGAATGTGTTGATGAAGATGACCATGAACATGATCATACATCATCTGATGTTCAAATGGAAGATGATGAATGTGAAGAATACGATGAATTTGATCCATATTTTTTTATAAAAAACTTGCCAGAATTAGCCTCTGTGGTTCCATCTTTCAGGCCTATCCTACTTCCCAAACAAACACGAAGTTGCCCTCCAACTACTCTTGTCCTAGATTTGGATGGTCAGTATTTCACTTTTTTAACCAATCTACTTTTGCTAATATAGAAAGGGAAAATGACATAAAAA